CCCTGTGACCTTGAATATGGGTGAAGGTCATTCATTTGAACAAACTTTGTAGCCCTTCATCTCAGCTAGCTACTGGCCAAATATCATCACCCTGGGCATTTTGGTTATTCAGAAGAAGTTGTTTAAAGTTTTTTAATACAATTGACCCCTGTGACCTTGAATATAATTGAAGGTCATTCATTTGAACAAAGTTGGTAGCCCTTCACCTAAGCATGCTACTGGCCAAATATCATCTCTCTGGGCATTTTGGTTATTGAGAAGAAGATGTTTAAAAATTTTGACATATTTGACCCCTGTGACCTTGAAAATAGGTGAAGGTCATTTATTTGAACAAACCTTGTAGCCCTTCATACAAGTTTGCTTCTGGCCAAATATTGACACCCTAGGCCTTTCGGTTATTAAGAAGAAGTCGTTTAAAGTAAAATATTGACGCCGGACGACGGACGGACGGACGGACGGACGCCGGACGCCGCGCCACGGCATAAGCTCACTTGGCACTTCGTGCCAGGTGAGCTAAAAATCGCTCTTCGTCAGAAAGCTACGTTATCGCAGCTAGATTAAAAAATGCTGAAATGTCGGACCAGGATGAATAACCACGGAATTAGATTAAGTCCGTGGAATAACTAAGGAAGGAGAACCTACTTCTAGTAAATAGGAGCGCATAACATTTTTTTTTTAAATTGAATTTTTCAAGAGTTCATGTTTTCATATGATGTTGACTTAGAATGTATGATCATGTAACAACCCTTTCTCATATAAAGAATTAATTTTCGATTTCAGATAGAATCGGAATACGTATTGAAAACAGGAGGAAAACATTTGTTAACATTGTAAAAATGACGCATGCTGCCGATAACTATGGCTTCTGTTTCGGACAAAAAAGAAATGATTAAAGAAAAGTTGTCTCAACATAAAAAAGGGTCCATTTACAAGAATGCTTTCATCTATGTAAAGTATTGAAAAAATATAATTATCAAGTATCTCAACACGTTCCATATCCGACACATATTCTACATGTACACGTAGTGGTATTGCCATACAGTTTAGTGCGTGTGATGGCTAATATGACTTACTAAGTGTTAGCATATGGAGACAGTGAAAGTGGGAAAGAGAGTATACATACATTTATATGCACGGTCTAGAAATAACAAATTGGCCAAAGACATTGAGTTGTACAATGTAATAGAAAAATTCACAAACGTTTCTCTTTTATACACGTTTAGTTTGTCATTGCATATATGCACTTCATGAAAACATTTGAAAAGGGGTATTCGTCTCGTGAATTTTCATTTTTACAGAAAGGCTTGTCCCATGGTTGAGGGAAGGTGTTTAGCCCCGTACCATCTGTACCAGTCACATTGCGGTAATAAATTCAACATATATTTATGTATATCTACTTTATGTTTATGCCTATTACCATTGTTGACATTTAATTGTAAATGTATGATGGGAGAAGGCTGTGATAAATTGGTAAATATGCCGATCACTAATCTCTTCGACTTTTGACGTCATTTCTGCTGCCATAAATCTTGTTCTTAAATCTATGCACACTTTTGGCGTGAATTTCTTTGAAACATTTTACACTGTAGATGTTATGCGTTACACAAATTATTGAGATGTTTTCAAGGTTATATTATCTCAATTTATCTGAGAAGTAATCATTAGTTTTAGCTGCACAAGTGTAGGATAAACAGACTTTCCATAATTACTAATTAGCATAAGTTTAATTAACTTGAATAAACATTTTTGTGATATATATGACAAAAAGTTCCGAAGACTGAATAATACTACTAATAATAATACAGCGATACTTTAGCGAGCGCAGTGCATGTTTTGAAGTGGTGTCACCAACATTGCACATAAGTGTTTTTACTTTTCAAGTGATGTACGTTCGCATTTATGAGTCAAACAAATGGAATGAAAGTTTATGTGTTCCATGTCTACGGGCTCAAATACTACACCAAAGTGGGATACTTCGTGGAACCGGAGATGTTTGAAGATCATACTAGAGAACAGGCAACCAAACCGGATAATAAACGCCCATTTAAGGCGCTTACCACACAAACCAGGACAAGGGATGAGCACAGTAGGACCAACATGCAAACAGTTCAGGCCGATACTGGATGAAACTCTAGAGGTGCTCAAGGCAGATCTAGAACTATCGGACAGTGAAAACACGGCATCCACACCTAACACATCAGAAGGGAACAACGCAATCGTAGACTACAGGACTATATATACATAGATTTAAAAATAGTCAGTGAATTGTATGTACCTAAATAGTGTTTCAGAAACTGATACTAATGACTAGATAATGCTCATTTACTAATAATACTTTCTAGAACGTTATAAATAGATAATATCACGTGACGTTACCTGTATTACGTCACAATCTACAATATAAATGTGCCCAGATTTTTAGTACTTCAGGGGACATATTTTGTTATTAAATCGTCCTGAAGAAGCCCACTTTTCGGGCGAAACCGGTAGACATACCTAATACAGAAGATTCAACTTATCCTGAGCTTGTTGCGATTGACACCTATTCTGAATTAATTTACTTGATTTTTCAAATGTGCATAACTTGAAAAATATTTGTTATATATATACAGTCGAACCTCGTTATCTCGAAGTCGACGGGGTCGTGGGAAAACTTCGAGTTATCCGAGTATTCAAGTTATGCGGGTTCATAGATTTGGTATGAAATTTGCTGTTGGGACATAGCACTAGCAGTTGTTGGTTTTATTAATAGATAATGCTTTTAATCAATCGATAAATGATATACGTAATCAATATAACAAATACAGCTATGTAATTTTACAATAAACACGCTTACAAAAATAGAGTAAGTTATTTCAGAAAAACGTACTTTCGGTTTTAAACGCGATCAAAACGGTTGGACCCTTTTGTGAATTCGTTATTAAATATGGACGGGCCTAGTGATTAAATGTTGTTTTTGGCTAGTATAGATCTTGGCAATTCTTTCCAGGTCTGCTTTTGTATTTGTAAGTCCGTCAAGTTTTACTTCTGAAGTGTTACATTTCAAACCGAACTATCCCACTGTCTCTGATCTCGTAGTTTACAATGCGAAAATGAAAGTGCGCAAGTCTAAAACAAATCACTGTAATGGAGCGTACGCATAGTTGATTCTGTAAATGAAAACACACAAACTCGATCGACTTTCAAAGCCATACTGGCTCCTGTAAAAACATGAACCCGTAAAGCTGTCCTAGGTTGTGATTTTAACTGTGGAACTCTTTTATGCATGAACACGCTTTGTGACCGATTTTCCGGTTTGCACTGTCGTCTGTTTAGGTGTACAAATCATTAAACGGACTCGCAGTAAGTACAGATTACTGTTGATCAACATTGATGCAGTTTTCTTTTTTATTATGAATAACATGGTTTTGACAGTCCGTAAACTTTACAGTCCTAAGCTTTATCGTAAATTCTTTTTTACTGATTTCATGCGTCTACTTACGAAAGATGTTCATAAACACGGAATGGCGAAATAACGTACTTTTGCGTTTTATTTGTATCAAAGAATTAACAAGTGACAAAATGAAATTTGAATACTAAGTTGGATTAACGCTATTGAAACCAATATTTTACTTCGAGGTATCCGAGTTTTTCGACTTTTCAGGGTTCGAATTATCAGAGTTTTATTTACTAAGATAAAGGACAGATTTGTCCGGGACCGGAGAAATACTTCGAGATAAACGGGGTCTTCGAGTTAAAAGAGTTCGAGATAACGAGGTTCGACTGTATATGTGAATAAAAGTTATATGAAAATTGTTCGTTATTGTCTCTAGTTTATATTAACGTTTTCAATTCTAAAGTTGCTTCAGTATTTACCTGTACAGGTGGTAATAAAGGTAAGAAAAGGGGAAACTTTTAATTAATCGGATTTAAGCACTAGAAAGGCCATTTTAGAATTATTTTGGTCAGCAAATGTGATTGGCAAATGATAACAGAGATTTTAAACTTCATTCATGACATAAGACGCTGTACATTTACACGGAGATTCTCAGCTAAATAGGTCAGGTATTTCATCAAGAATTGCATGTGATTTGCTACAGGTTTCAGGTCATCATTCAATATATTTACTGTCACAGTCGGCATATAGATATATCTTAGCTACGGTCTAGTTTATGATTAAATCATCAATAAATAGTTTTAAGAAATCAATCGGCTCAAAACGTATCAATGTCAATGTTCAATTCGACCTCACCTGCAGACGACATGTGCGTCTCGGTCCACCGATATTTTCATGTTTGCGTAGGGCACAAAGCCGTTCATTGGAAAGTTACATATTATGTTACACCACAGTATTTCCACATCAATGATGTCAAATCCTTCAAAACCTTTATTATCATGACGCTGGAGAATAAATGTTTACCATCATGTTCGTCACTTCAATCTACACGTCCACCATTTTTATGACGTTTTTTCCGATTTGAAATTCTCTTTCACACCTTTGGTTATTACTAGGGTACATTGCCGGGAATATCGAAACTAATGACAAAACAACCAATCTGAAGCCTTCTACTATACGCATTCGGGTTCGGTATAGCAACAATCCGCTTTCACACTTCCTGTTTACTAATCAAAAACCTACAGACCGAGAGGCACATATGCGGTGCGTAGCACTGACGACGACTTATCGAAACCACAAATGTGGTGCGTAGCAGCCTAAGGGTTTTAAAGTATGAAGTTCACGCCAAGAATCACAGTCAGACATGGCCATTGAAACATATCAGAAATATATAGGAGGGGGTGTAGCTCCTGAACCCTAGATACTGTTATATGAACCAGTGACCCAAACGTGCCACTCTGACGTCACAAGTACCACGTGACATGTAAGTTCATTAAAATTCTCGCCAGTAAGGAGCACCAGTAAGGAGCAGTCACCTTTGATTGCCTATATAAAGGTAATGAGACACTTCTGAATGCGCGTTGATGGATTATTCAGTATTTATTTAAGAATGTTACAGGTTTCGCTTATTTTTACAAAATGTAAATAATTTTGGCCAAAATCCTTTAATGTTATCTGCATTCAAATGAAATTAGTTAAGTTGGCAAAGGTGATACCTTTTTCAATTAAATAATTTTTGGACTCTCACAATCATTTATTTTTTATAGATGAATATGACCTGATGCATGATGTATCATCGTCATACGTAAAAGAATATTGATCCGATATAATTCAGAATATAGATACGCAAAATTTTACCAAACAAATAACGTACACAAATTTCAACGAACCCTTTCCGGAATTAAAGGTTTATATTAAAAAAATCCTCAGTGGAAGAACACGTCAGCCGTGGAAACTTATCGCACGATATCACTAAACATCATTTCGTTACGACCATAAAATTTCAACATGTGCGAAATGTAAACCGAATCATTTGTACATTTGCGAATATAAAATGACTGCATAATAGCACAGGTCTATGCAGTGCAAAGGGAGATGAATATTTTTCCAAGTGTGGCTTAATTAATTTTACACTGCAAACTCCCTTTAAAGCGCCGCCTAGTGGTGACCTCATTTAAATAAAATGTCTGCCATTTTGTTTTCCCAAAAACAAGAGGACCCATGCTTATCATTCATCAACAAACGTGTCATAGATGAACAGGCCAATATAAATTCATGTCAGCGAATCTTTCCTTATCTGATAACCTCTCCCAAACTGTGAGCATTCGGATTCCGGCATGTGAACGTAATAAGAAAATGTTCTGGCCTAGAACCGTACCATGAATACCTAACACGATCGTCGAGTTGCAAGTGTGCAGCACAGGAAGTTAGGGATCAATAGATTTCTTCCACGTAAACATGAAATAAAAGCAGACTTGAAACTTCTAACGTATATACATAGCAAAATAAGGATTTTATGTACATGTATTTCTGCAAAATATATAACTTTACATTGCTTCATTGATCAACAAACTGCAAAAATGATGCTGGCCACCAACTTTTAGGCTAGTTCACACCAAAATGCGATGTTGACAACAGATACAACTTATTCTATATGTAAATATACAACACGTGCATGTTGTTCAATACCTGTCTACTTACCTTTCTTAACGATTCAACAGGTTAGGAGAAATATACACGGGACAATAAAGGAAATAGCAAAGACCCTTATTTTCACGGCTGAACGAACGACAAATCGTTCTCACACGATAGCGTGAAGGTAAAATAGAAACCGGACACACATTTTATCCGGCATCTGATATATATATATATATATTCAGGCATCTAGCCTATATGATGTAGAGTCTATGTATTTCTTAATGTTCAATATAAAAAAAAAATCGAGAAAAGGTAGAACAACATGTATTTGAAAAATTCAAAGGTAACAAAAACTGAAAATTGGATATAAAGGGCATTTTGTAACTTTTCATGAAAACGACTCGTGCGAAATACTATCTTTTTAAATTGGGTGTCAGACGATTCGCCCCAAAACCGTAACGCCACAAGCTGTTACGCCCCGAATTTGATTCATATCGCCCAAACCAGTTCGCCCCCCCCCCCCCCCAAAAAAACCCCATAACTATTTCGTCCCAAAAACTACAACGCCCAAAGTAATCATAAAGATAGAAATTCACAAAAGACCTGTTGCAATTCGTCTGATGTATCGGACGTAATTTTTGTGCCGTAGATATATAACTTACCATATCTATACAGTGGCGGATCCAGAGACCTATCTGGGGGGGTTTCCAAATTTCCTGGGGGGGTTTCCATGTGGGGAAAATTTGAGGAAAATGGTGAAAATACATGATTTTTAAAGAAAATTCTCAGGGTGGGGGGGTTTCCTGAAGCCCAAAAAACCCCTCTGGATCCGCCACTGTCTATAGTATCTATGTTAGGCATGTATTTTTAACGTAACATATCTATACTATCTATGTTAGGCATCTTCTAGATGATATATATACACTGTATAAGATCATTTAATATATATAAACTTTATTTATTTTCAACTTATGTTAATCACTCTTGTTGGACCGAAATTTTAGCGCACAGGGGTCTTAATGTGGGAGGAAACCGGAGTACCTGGAGAAAACCAACGTGTCGGGCAGGTGACCCTATACCTTTTCACGTCCGATCGGGGAATCGAACCCCGGCCGCCTTGGTGAAATGCAAGTACGCTATCACTGCGCCACCCGACCATTTTACATTTTAAATGATATATACACACTGTATAAAGATAATAAGCTTATATACACGCGTTCCGCAGATCAAAAGAAAAAAAGATCCATTATGTTATGTGTGTTGCAAAAGAGTGTGTACGTACTAACTTTGTGTACTGGGGACGCAGTAGTTTTGTCATTGATTCAAAATTAATTTGTAGTGTATAGAGAAACCGGTTTAAAATATCATGCGTAACAATAAAATATATTTCAGAAGAGTTATCATAAATACACCTATAATTCAAGTAGAATTACATTGTATTTTAAAATGATACCACTTCTGGAGTCACATCTTTGATTTCTTTTTCACAACTATAACCCGATATAAACTTTTTCAGCGAGTCAAAACTTTCTGTGTCAAATGTAACTGAGTGGGAACTAATCCGGATAGGTTTTTTTCTCTGCGAATGGAAAATGTATAACATCAGGAGTTCCACAAGGGTCTGTTATAGATCCCATAGTGTGTTTCATCTATATAAATGATCGACACGAAATGTAGGATTTGGAGTCATATTTGTTCACGGATGGTACAAAATGTTCAAAATAAGTACGAATTAACCAAATCCTGCCGCAATATAATATCCGACGAATGGAGCTATCGTGCGTTACGTAGTTGCTGAATCCACATACAGAAAGATGTGTGCATTTGAACATGAGAAGGAACACTGGGAATGATGTTCGTACATATTACGCGACATGATCTAGTTGAACAGTCATTAAAAATCAGAAGCATGAATGACATACTGCGCAAATTTCAAAGGAGAACATTTCAAAAGGATCACGAATCAATTTCCCTTGAATCGGTCGTATACGCTTCATTGCCATGTTCATCATTTATTTTTAACCCCATATACGCGTCATATTTGCTGTCATATTTATAGTACATGTGAATTCTAAGACATACCTGACAGATATACACTTTCTACACTTAGACGAGGACAAATCTTGTAATACCATCTATGTTCCCACTAAGGTCAGATACCGTAAAAGTGGAAATGTTTGCGTATAGACTCTTAGACAGATCTGTGTGTGGAAATGTTTACACATAGACTCCTAAACAGATCTCT